GTGCCGGGGAATGTCAGCAGAGCCCATCGTACTGCCTTCCATGGGTCAGAGGGAGATCTTCCCTCCTGATAAAATATGATAAACAAAATTATAATAATAACCCAGTAGAGACTTGTATTGTTACGGAGAGAACAGTTATGCTAATGACAGACTGCTCAGCTGATATTACATTAATATAACAAACATTACCTGTCTTAATGTGTTGTACTGTATTAGGGCAAAATAAGTAAGTCTAATAGTGAGATTCCATTTTGCATAATGAAACAGCATTGCAGTTTCTGCGTGAATAATTCTAGCAGCAGCGGTTTTTTGTTGTTATTTTGGAGGATGAAATATTACGTCGGAAATGTTTTAGTCTCGGGCTGGAAGCAGGTCCTGCCTTCAGCACTTCTTATTTTGCTGGGCTCTGCTCTGGCTTGTGGCATCGTGATTCCCGGTTTGCCAGTGTATCACTGGTTTGTCTTCTGTGGCATGAGAAAAGCTGTTTTGCATTGTTTCAGCTGAGTTTTTTCTACATTTCAAATGTATTGCACATAATAGCTTTCTAATAAGACGGCTCAAGTTAATTGTTTGGTTTTTGCCTAGCCATATCTATTTTTATTTGTAGCCCAGTATTTTTAACTGTTCCTCAGCTACTTGCACTTTCTATGTTCAGCTATGTTTTGCTCCGTTTAACTTTTATCACAAAATCTTTAACCGAAGAATTGCTGTTTAGAAATCCAAGGTGCCTGGTATGAGGTCTTACTGAAATCAAGTTTGAGCATACATCGCAGGAGAAAAGGATTTTCTGGCAGAGTTATTCTTTATGAATTAAGGAAATCCTCCCCATCTTCCATGCATGCCTGCTAACAGTTAACAGGACCACAACCGTATCCAACATCGAAGGCACGTTGTGTGAAAATGGCATTCTTTTTTTTCACTTCATACAAGATTAAACTACTTGAAATTATTTAGCTAGTATTTAATTATATTAATATCACTGAAAATGGGGGAATGGAGATGATTAAATAGGACTAAATCATTTTCATCCCCGTGACCCTTGTCTGGGTTGTATGGAGGAGTGACAAATGCATCCCTGCTGTAACTCCGTTGTGAAGTTAAAGGTGAACTTGGCCCAAGTTTGTGGAAGTTTTCCTTGGTCGGTCTCGCCAAAATACGGTGTGTTTGCAGAGCCTGGAACTGCGGGTAGCAGAGGGGACTGCGGGGGACGGGAGGGCTTTGGGGGATCCGGAGAAACAGCAGGCAAAACCCTGGGAGAAATAGCGTCTGAAAACAATTGTGAGTATTAAAGACATTTTTTGCCGTTGATGGTATTAGCATGTCAGCAGGTCTATACTAGTACAGCTCCGAAAGCCAAATTGCAGCTGTATTTTTACCTTTGCTGCCAGGTTTACATGCAGCTGGGTATCTACCACACCCTATTGTTATCAGTCAACAATACCAAAAGTAGTTCATTAATCATATCAATAACAACAATCGTGTTTCACGTGGAAAATAGAAATAAACAACTTAAAAAAAGAAAAGATTGATTTCTGCTCTGCATGCTAACTGAGCATTCTTTAAATATATCTGCCAGTAGTTTAATTTGAACTTCAACTCCCCGAAGGCAGTAAGACAGAATTATTTTAGTTCTTCATAAACTGCCTTCTGTGATTCATTGTTAACTCATAAAACACGCTCATTTTCATGTACTTAAACAGTTAAGCCATTTTTAAAGTTGGTTTGTAATTTTTTTTGGCAACACATTTAAGTTGACATCTGAGAGATAGAAATCTAAAATTAATTTATAGCCCTCAGTTTAGTTTTCATTTACTATCGGACAAAATATCAGAAATAAATATTTTTTATCTAACGTAATGTAAAGTATATTGCGCAGTATCTAAAATAAAGTTTAGTTTTGACTGAATACACTCAAAAAGGGACCCATAAATATTAGAGAGCTGTAGTTAAGAACTTACATGACTGTTTTAAATACTATTGATTTAAACCACTGGCTAGATTTTATGAATCAAAGTGTAATTTCCAAGCTTTGGCTATATTTCTCATCGCTAAAGCACTCTCTCTTGTGTGCCTTTAGCAGCTTTCCAGACATTCAACACGGGATTAAATGATAGTAGTTACAATGATCAATAGGTTAAGACCGGTACAATCACTCTTACCGCTAATGACCTCAGTAGTAATGGGTAATAAAGTGTGGGCTATAATAGCCTATTGCTGGTGCTGCATGCCCTTTGATTCCTAGTATTACCAGGGACTAGCTACATGAAAAAGTTGGACATTGGGAGTTAAGAGAGTGGATATATAGGCTATCATTCTTAACTATTTAAAGTCCTCAAACTGTACGTGTGCCCATCCTTGTCCGGGGCGTGCGTGTCGTTTTTAACACGGTAGTTTCTGGTTTATTTGAATTTGTCTGTAAAAGGTTTCTGTAAGTTGCTTCCATGATAAGCTGAAGCACAAACTTTGGCTAAATGTGGCTGTTAGCCGTGTTTATAAATGGAAGGCAGGACCTTCTTTAGAGGTGCAGATGTGGTGTGCAAATGTGGTTTCAGATGGTAAAATGAAGTTGAACGGATCAACGCAAACTTGTACTTCTAGGTGTGCCATATATATGTGTGTGTGTGTGTATATATATATATATAAATATATTTTTTTTTTCTTGCTGGTTAAGTGCTTCTGTTCTAGCAAAGAGTGTTCAGCTAGGATATTCTTCACCAGAAGGTACATGGCCAGTTTTCAAAGGTAGGGCCAAATCCTTAGATTTGTCCCAAGATAAACGTGCAAAAAAGCCGTGGAAGTGAATGGGAGTTGTCTCTGCATAGCTGACGGCAGAATGCGGCCCTTCTTATTAATCACCGATGTGTAGGGTTTACAGCACCCCACCCTATTCCTGTCTGCATCCCTGCTTGTCGTCATAAATCTGACTGAAGAGTATTTGTGTTGTCTGTCTTCCAAGAAGGGCACAGAAAACATACTTAAACATGCTTCCTCTTCTGTTTGCTCAGTCCAACTTCAATGAAAAGTAGTACAAACCCGAGGGTAAAGTAAACTTCTCTGGGGATGAGAATAATGAAGGTGAGTCATGCTTCGGGGCGAAGATAGTGATGGCAGTATTTAATTAAATAATTTTCTACTCCCAGAAAAGTTTTTAAAAGACTACGGATTAAGATATTCTGAATTAATGGGATTACCCATCCTGATGACTCAGTGTCCTTGGAGCTGGTCCTGCGTGGCCAGGCGGTGGCATGGCGCAGCAGCTGGCCAGTGGCTTTCCCATAGGCACAGGCAAGTCACGCCGGCCACAGGAGAACGGCCGCTGGCTTCGGTGGGACTGGCATTTGACCTGTAATTAAATCTTCATTTGCCTGTGTTCACACCTGCCTGGACCACATTAGATACATGGGAATGCGCTGCGCCACGGGGGATGCACAGAGGACCTCGCCGTGTTTGCGTTAATGGGATGTCGGAGGTGTGCGAGCCTTTGCTAGACTTCGCTCAGACAAATGTTTTCAAGGCAGTGTCTGGCCCTGGCACACAACATGTACACAACAACACGGGGAGATGTGCAGCGTACATGCATCTGACCTTCAGGAACCATTTTTAGTTCATCAAAATTAGTGATGCTGAGAAATCAGGACATCAGTGCATAATGACTGTGAAATTAGGAATGAGAGCTTGCTATGCAAATGACAGGACAAATCATGTGAAAAAGTCAAGATAAACTGCATATTAAGACATTATGTTACATAAAATTAATACTGCATTTCTCTCTTGCTTACTACTACACTGGAAGATTTTTTTTTTAAACTCCTTTATCTTCTGATCAGCTATTGTCTGCTGATTTTTTAGAAAGTGGTGCACAGAAAAAGTGCTAAACATATTATTACCTTTTATTGTAATACATGAGATGACAGGAGATCCTTTTTAGCAAAGTATATCCTTTACTGCTTTTAGTTTTGTGCTGTCACGTATTTGACTTGAAACTATAGAAAAGTAAGGTGCTTAAATATTACTGTTAAAACTCATATGGGTTTTGTCTTTTCCTCTATTGTTTTTTTTTCCCTCCTTTTCTTTTCCTTTTTTGGGGTGGAGGGTAGAGGGGTGGGTTTCTAGGGAAATAGTCTTCTTGCATTACTAGGACTGACAAAATGGTTCTCATGTAGTCTGCAAATTAAACACAAGTGCAGTGATTATTTTGAATAGCTAAATTACATTCTAGAAAGCTTGCAGAATTCATAGCATTGTCATTAGGTATCCGCTTGAATACAATTTGTGTAACCTTGGCCAAGACAGCCTGTCATTTTAATGTCAGTGTTTTATCTGAACAAGACATCATCCTTTCAGATACAGTGTACAGGTTCCTTGCAAAGATGCCCGTGCAGAAACGTGTTAACAGTTGCAAATATGAAATGCTATCAAGTTCATCACTGTAGCTGTTTGTCACTGAAATGTCATGGAAAGCGGCTTTTAATGGTATCTCACATAATATGAAAGAATTGAAGACATCTGTATGCTGGGTGAATATGGAATGGTAAAGACATCGTGGTAGGGCCTTTCTCTTGAAATTGCATGGGAGTCTAGTGCTGTTATTCACATCACTGAGCCTTCCTTCAATTTTCTTCAAAACCTGTTGTAATAGGGTCTAGATCCCATCAGTGCGGGATACTCAGCTGTTGGATTGCTGTATGGAAGGCAAGGGCTTTCTGGGAGGGAAAGGACCCAGTTGCATATTTCTTGTAAAAATAAATAAATCTTAACAGGGTTTACTATTTTGTTTGCTTTAAAGAATTTGCATTGCAATAATGTCCTGCAAAAAGGGATTTTAGTCGCCAGGAGAACGTGGTCAGTACCCCTGTGCCTGCTGCGGTGGGCTGTAAGGACTCCCTGGCCTTCAGCACCCTTGGTGCCAGGCGCGGGCTCCCCCGGCGCAGGGAAGGCGGGCAGCGCGGAGGAGCTGCGGCGGTGCGCTCTGACCCCCTCTTTGCTCTCTTGCGCTTCAGGTTCCAGTGTCGGTGGCTATGATGACACCTCAAGTGATCACTCCCCAGCAAATGCAGCAGATCCTCCAGCAACAAGTGCTAACTCCCCAGCAACTCCAAGTCCTGCTCCAACAGCAGCAGGCACTCATGCTTCAACAGGTAATTGTTTTCTTAACAGCTGTTCAGGTGGCTTCTATAGATACCAGAGGGCTTCGCCTCCCAAAATGTTCCTGGGGAAAGAAGCTGCCCACATCTCGGGTCTGTACCTCGGAGCAGCCGTGCTCTGAGATGAACTGACTGCTCTTTTGTTTTTAATTCTAGAAATAGCTACTGGAAACAAATCCAGGGAGCAGTGCTAGGAGTGTTTCCAAGATCAGCTAAATAATACAGATGCATATTTAAGTGTCAGGACTTCGGCAGATGTCCCTGTTGATTTTGCCTCCATCCCCCAGAAAGCGTGGTTTGCCCTGACGAGTTGGAATAAACAAGGTAGTAGGGCGATACTTCCCATTTTAGACCTCGTTGTGGCCATCTGGAACCGTAACGGACTATGGAAACGGTGGCAATAAAAGTGAAGAGGTTTGCAAGCCTTAATCTGTGCGATTTCAGCCAGCGTATGCCGTGTGGTATGTCAGTGTTCCTCACAGCCCATGGTCCTTTTTCAGCTGAAAGTTGGCCACTGACAAGCCCCGAGGCTCCGTTATCGTAGGGTACGGCACAGCGGGGGCTCGCGAATCCCGGGCGGGTGTCAGCATCCACCCCAGCCCGACCTTGCGTGCTCCCTCCTGGCTGCCACGCTCCCTCCTGCCCGCGCCGGAGCGCTGCCTGCGCGGCACACATCTGGGGAGCGGGGAGGAGGAGAGTGTTTCCCAGGATGTCTATGCATGTATTGAACAACACTTAATACAGTCAAACCCTATCATTTAGAAAGCATGTGTGTTTCACAACAGAGATTCGCCAGGCTCTCTCAGCAAGGGCATTTTGGCTTTGTTGTTACAATCAAAGGTCATTCCTTGCCTTATTTTAATTAGTTTGTGTAGAAAATGGTATGTTTTTCATCAGTTCATTTTGGAGATTACTTTTCAAACGATAATGCCAAGAATAGTCAGTGTGCACTGAATTTATTGTTGAGTTTCAAACTAAAGGTCAGACCATTACAGATAAAAGGATGCTATTTTTCAAATCACAGTTTGTGTGTTACACCAGAAGGGACACTGAATTGGCTCACCACTTTGTTACTTACCATCTTTCCTTTTCTTTGTAGCAGCAGCTTCAAGAGTTTTATAAGAAACAACAGGAACAGTTGCAGCTTCAACTTTTACAGCAACAACATGCTGGAAAACAGCCTAAAGAGGTACAGACAATACCCATTTTACTTTCAAACCACAGATCCCCGGGGACTGTCTAGTGGCTATTAAACTGTCATTCATCTTATAAATGATTGCACAACTGAACTGACTCTATCGGGTCTCAGCTTTCAGATTTAGAGTTATTGTCCTGTTTTCGCCTGTATTTTCCTGTGCTTTCCATTTGCTTGCTGCCACATATTTTATAGCAGGGGACCATGCCTTGATGTTTGGTATGAGTACTGGAGCAAGCATCTAGACTTGTATCTTGGGAGAGTGCTTTTGGAAGTTAGTTATGTTGTAAAGGGGAGGGGGCAAGGCAGCAGGCCCAGATATGGTGCTGTCCTCTCTAAACAGGGCAAAATGCCAAGAGACGTTGAGTGTGGGCTTGCAGTTTCCAACCGGAGAGGTTCTGGTTGCACGTTCCTCGCGGCACAGGCTTAGCAGGAGGGACCACACTGGACAGCATCGGTGGTGACACTGAGAAGCGAGGTCCAAGACACAGAGGTAGTGCGGGAACACCGCCTTGTCGCGGCATGGTGTCAGGAGACCTCGCTCTGATGCCACCGCAGTCCATGGCAGGAACGGGACAGGCCAGGGTGGTTTCTGCCCATCCTTTAAGTACACTTTCCTTTCAAAATACCTGTCGTGTCCTAAACTTTGTTTGTTGATTTTGGTGTCCTTAAATTTAATTTTGCTGTAATTACATTTATTTTTAAGGCACTGAGTTCACCCCTCTAGTCACAAGGAGTTCGAGGCTTTCACATTTAACCTGACATCACTGCTGGCTTAGGTAGATCCTAGAAAGCTGCCTCTTGGCACGAGACGCTGCGTGATGTCCTCCGATAGCAGCAGCACTTGCGCGTTGCTTTGCAAGTGGCGCTACTCGAAGCACGCACCAATTTCTGCCCCCTTCCCCCCGCCCCCCCGAAATTTCGGCAAATCGTGCCACCTGTGCCAAGTTTCAACCCAGAGTGAATTTTTCCAGCTGAGTTATAAACCCCTGAAAATAGGGGGGTTTATAATGGAAACGCTGACACAACCTTAACCATAGCGCGCTTACGGGCGCCACTATAATAAAAAGGGAACAGATTAAAAAGTGTCTAAAATGTAAATCTAAAGGACTAACAGTAATTAAAATGGAAATGGCACAGGGAGGGAAGGCATGTAATTGTGAGATATCACTGTGCAGAATGCTCTCAGCTTTGTTTTGCTGGCTGTTTTTCTAATTCAGTAGGGCTTACTCATCAGTGGCAGTTCAATGCGCGTTAATGACTCTGGGATGCAGGCATCACTCTGGACAAAGAAATGATTATTGTGCGGTCAAAAGAAGTTCAAAGACAAGAAGGGAATTTCAGTTTTTTCCTTAGAGATCCACATTCAAGAGCATATAAATTAAGCCAAATGTTAAAAACCACAGTCTGAAAGCTGACTTCAAAGTCACAACTCTCTAATTAATGAACTGCGAGCTTCAGTTTGGACAAGTCGTGGTTTGATGCGCCCATAAATCAACATGACAGGTCTGTTTCACAGCCTCAGACAGCGCTTGTCATTGAGTCACATCAGATGTAAACACAGCAGAAAAAAGAGGGAATATGAAGGAGGTGCAATTGATCAACAGAATTGGTAAAAACCCACTTTTGAAACGCATTATGCATGATCACAGGAAATGGCGATAGCCTCAAGAGGCTTTCTCCTTCTGCTGTTGCTTTTTTGAATCAGGTTTCTAACAGCCTTCAAAAGGGAGAATAAGAATTATGGAGCTTCTCCCCTGTGGCTGGCAGGCAATAACCCCCTGTTGTTATTTTGTGCTTCTTTCTTTTCAAAGGCGTCAAAATTTAGTTTTTTAAAGATCTTTAACTCTATATTTGAAGACAAACAATAAAGGGCTGCCACTGTCATTCTTATCAGTTACCAGGGATTGTATTTTTTCTTTCTGTTGCCACTTCTTATTAACCTCTTATTTGGTCTATTAGACATAGTTTTGAATGCAAGCCTGCATGCTGGGAGAACATGAAAGTTCAGATGAGCTCAGAGGGCAGATAAAGAAATTTGAAGGGGAAAGTTACACAGCAGAATGAACGATAAAAGTTAACTCTTCTAAATTGCTGTTGTCAGACAGGAGAGCATCTCAGACACAAAGATGAGGGCTTGGAGCTTAAAGAAAAAAATACTTTGTGTTAAAAAAGACGAGAAGGGAAGTTAGACAATGTGATGGCATTTCAATATCTAACACACTGATTTACCGTGGTCACACTTCTGATATTACACTATCGAAAGCAACAATAAGAAAGGACTCCTTCCTGTTTCAAGAAGAGCATTTTAACACCATATCTGTTAAGAGAACAAGGGGCCCAAGTCTCTTCAGCTTTTTCTAGGATTTTGGGGGGGTATTTTTGCTGATGGTTTTAGTAGAGGCCTGTTTCAACGATGCGTTTCATCCCACAGGTTTGTTCAGCCCTGTTTTTCCTGCCTTAAGGAGGTTATTCTTCCTAAATTACCACGCAAGCGGTGGTCTTTTATTTTTTTTATTCCCCCCTCCCTCTCGTACTAAAAACTGGCGGTCGGGTCACATGGCGAGCAGCGCCGTGGTGGGGACCGGCGGGGGGCGGGGGAACGAGGGGGGGGGGCGTGCCCTCCGGCGGCTGCCGTGCTAACGAGGGCTGAGTTCGTACCTTGACAGATGGAACAAGTGTATTCATGTACTGCGTCCCCCAAGTCATTTTGTTAGTGCCTTGTCCTATTGTACCGTCGTGAAAGAAGAAAAACACAACAAATCTCCCAAGCCCCGCTGGTAAAAGGGATCCGACCCCCAAGCAGGATAACAGACGGACCCCAGTAAGGTTTCTGGTGGGTTTTGCTCGAGGGCTGCGTGGCGTAGCAGAGGGTGAGCATCGCGCAGTGCCTGTTAGCACGAGCCGGAGGCACCGGGGCGAGATCTCAGCCTGCAGGGCTGCCTCTCGGGGCTGCCTCTCCCCCGGCAAAGTCGGGTCTCCCCGAGGCAAGGGGGGCTTTAGAGAAAGATCCCGCTCGGTGCCGTGGCGCTGGATGGAGCGGGTTGTTTTCCAAAAAGGGCCGTTTGTCCTCCGGCAGTTGTGACAGTTTATGTTAGGCAGTAGGGAGTAACCTAAGAAAGGAAAACAGACCTTTGACAGAAGCTTTAGGGAGGGGATCAAAAATGCAAGTTTTATCAGGATATTTCAGCATTTTAACACTGACTACTGACCTGACAACAGGACTGCACTGAGACCTTTTTTGTGTGCATTCAATTGTGAGAAGTAAACAAACTGCCTTGTATCCTGTGTTTGGTAACTGGGTGGGGAGCGCAGTTTGGCAACGTGTCTTGCTTTTAAATTCTTTCTTGGACAATGGGCCTTGTATACTTTTATATCCTGGCTTTTCAAAGTAGAGAGTGTTCAAGAGCTTTTCTTAGGATAGCTGAGAAGACAACCAAACGGGCATCAGTCAATTTAAATAAAGGTTGGTTTTTTTTAAAAAAAAAAAGGTAGCTTTACAGTCAGATGGGAAATAGGTAAAACACAGCTTACTCTAACTAGATTTTTATGTCATACCATTTATTATATATTTATTATATATATATAAATATATATTAAGTATATATGTATTTAGAAAATGAATATTTATGGAGGCAAACATTAACTCTTAATATAACTGTTGCTGTGGCTTGCATTCATCTGGTGCTGTTGCAAATAGTTGAGCAAGTGGATCTGTCTGAGCAAGCTGTTGCAAAGAAGTGAAAACTCTCCAAGTTTCAGAATATCTAAACACCTATTTGTTTAACTGTGTTCTCAAAGTCCTAGATTTTCTTTGGAAAGCAGATAAATTAACTTTCCTGTCAGTACAGTTGGGGGTCCCCCCGCTTGACACCAGCAGGGAACGGGGCCAGTGATCCTCTGGCTCGGTGTCAAGGAAGGGCGACAAAAAGCTTGGGACCTGGCTGGGGTTTGTTTGTGAAAGTATGCGGTTTTGTAAGAGTTAATTTTCTTTCCATAGCTGTTAGCCATAATGTGTATAAGACCTCCACCTTGATATGATTCCTAGCAGATTAGGGATATTAGATAATTTCCTTCTATTTATTGTACTACTGCACTGTATTATCTTTCTATCACTCAGATAATTACTAAGGAAATCTACATTAATTTTTTTTTGCTAGCACAAGGAACTGCTAAACACTGGCATGATGTATTGATGTTTTACACAACAAAAGTTTTCCTCCTGTCATTGTACAATAAATAAAAAGATATTTATCAAAATGCAAAGCCTTTCATGGATTTTAAAGAACAAAGCAAATAAAATACAAGATGAGCATGGAAGCAAAACCTAGAGGCTTCCTTAACTGAACAAAATTAAGGACTCTGAAGCCTGGAGTACTGTACATATTAAACACTCACATTCAAGTAAGATGTTGTTTGCTAAATTATGAATGTGTGTAATTAAAATCTAGTGGCTGTTTCTATGAAAGATTTACAATGTTATTTCATCGTTTGTCATGGCTAATTAACAATATTAGATGAAGTTTTTCTTCTTCAAAGGTCTGATTTTTTCTCATTTATTTATGTCAGAAGTGATAAACAGAGTAGTTAAAAGCTTCTCCGGGTACAGTAGTGAGAAAAGCAACATGTTCTTTTACACCTCAAAGGTTCAAGGTTCACATCCCTGTGGAGTAAAGCAACTCCATCTTCTTTCTAGTGAGAATAATTAAAATTTTCGAAGTGCAGAAGTAGCAGCCTTAAATACAGCACAGCATAATTCCCAACATAACAGAAAGTATTGTGGGGCTTGATGGATGAATAAGAGAAAGTATAAAATACCATAAATTAAGCCAGTCGTATTGCCTTAATAGTTGAGACAACCATTGCATGAGCAAGCAGAGCACAGTGCAGGGTTGTTTTTCATTACGTCTAATTGTGATGGGATCGTGTGGTGTGATTCTCACGTTATACATGTTCTTTGCCTCAAAGAATTACCCAGGACTTTAACAGCTGCCGGCAGCATTTGCTTTACCCACCACTGAAACTCAGCCACTTCTAGGGTAAAACACGACCACATGGACCAGGGTGACATGGTAGCGTGGACCAAGAAACGCTGCATACATTTTTAATTGGGATGGCAGGAAGGATTTAGGTAGGATGAAAGTAACCACTGGAGGTGGGAATCCACTGCAGCCCTGTGGTTAGCTCTAGCACCTAAGTGTGCCTTGGGGTCTTTGATGTGGGGCGGTGGGCTCGCTAGTTTGCCTTGATACGGAGTGACTGCGATCAGAAGTTGAAGTGTGTTGAGACAAGGAGCCCAGTAAATCCTCTGTTAATGCTTTGCTCTGTACTGACAAATGTGCATTTTTTTTTTTTTCCCAGCCCCAGCAACAGCAGGTGGCTACGCAGCAGTTGGCCTTTCAGCAGCAACTCTTACAGATGCAGCAGTTGCAACAGCAGCACCTCCTGTCTTTGCAGCGTCAGGGGCTGCTAACGATCCAGCCTGGCCAGCCTACTCTGCCTTTGCAACCCCTTGCACAAGGTAGGTGAGGGGTTTGGGAGCTGCTGGCTGTCTGGCAAAGAGATAGCACGCACTCACACACAAAATTGTCACTCAGGAAGAGAGAGAGAGAGATCTCTTACAGGCGCATAAAATAATAAGCACAGAAAAATCCTGACAGGCAGGGTGGGCATTATAAAGATGTTTTTTGAGAAGGGCGATGCTGAAATCGTGGATTGCTCTGGCTAGCGGGAGGCAGGCGGTTTGGAGTTCAGATTCAATTTGCACAGCTATAGCCGGTCTGGCGGACTCGAAGCTGCTGGTTGTACTAATCTGAGCTTGAAATCCTTCACAGGAGGCATCTTAATCGATTCTTAGTGCTGGGTTCATGGCTCAGGATAGTGTGAGAGCAGCTTTTCCTTTTTTAATGTGTTACTTGGGCCCTTTCTGGTTCCAGCCCAGCAAGGACCTGGGTGCAGAGGAGCTCTGATCGGCACGCTGCCGAACTGTAGAAATTTGATTGCCCTTTGCTGCAGCTGAGAGGGAGAGCTGGCGGTGTCTCCTCTCCATGCCTGTTTACACGGCCTTCATTTCACTGCCCGTGTGCATCATAGCTTCATTCCTCCCTCCACACTGAGGCAAATTGGGATTAACTCCATTTAATTTTAATGGTGTTACTGACAATTAGATCCTCCTACATCTTTATTCAGTCCTACACTCTGCAAGAAGTTACTGCTTTCCTGAAATTCCTATTTGTATTTTTTTTTAAGATGTTGATGCATTAAAAGCAATAACTACTTAAATCACAATACTTTTGATAGTGGTTATAACCTGGGGTTTTTATTCTCTCTTTTCCTCTTTGGCTTGAATCTTTTTTTTTTTAAACTAGGTTTAGCCATAGGACTTTTTAACGGACTTGCCTGAATTCTGGCTGCTGTGATTAAGGCAGATTGTTCAAAGTTGGCATGGCTCAGGGAAGACAAGGTCTTTCAACCATGATGCTGGTGTTTCTGAATAATCATGCCTTTTACTTCCCTTGCCCCATAATGAATTTAAACATCCACCTCACCAACTTGAGTCAGCTCAGGTTGAATGATTTCGGCTCTTCATAGCAGCCTTAGGGCTGCTACTAGTTGCTAAACCATATGATGAGTTTACATTCAGCTCTATTCAGTTAAATGGGGGGGACGGGACAAAATTGCTTCTGTTCTTCACCCTCCTTTTTTGTGTTTACATAGCTGCAAAAAGGAGAGTGATGTGGCTGGTGAATATTAACTTACATGGATAAACAGAGACAAAACTGGGGAGCGGAGTCTGCTTTGCCGTGTGACTGGTGTGATTTATTTAGGCTTATTTTTGCGAGGGTCACAAAAGTATTCGAGCTCCTATCTCCTGTCTTGAGAGGCTAAGCTTTTGGGGACCTGACATCTCCCTCGGCAAGACTCAGTTTAGCTTTCCAGCATCCCAAAGCGGGACACCTGGTCTAGACTAGTCCTGTGTATGAGTCAGAGGCTGATGAGCAGCAAGGTGGTGCCTGGCTGGGAGCTGCAGGATCAGGCCTGGGGTGGTAGTTGGTCAGGCACCGTTGATGTGCGGTGTGACAGGGAGAAGGCATGAAACGAGTCCAAGAACAAGGGCATGTAGACGAAATGCCATTTATACTTGCAAAATGTTGTAACGTGCGTTAATTATGCTTCAGATTTATTGTTGGAAGCATCCCAGGCTGTTCCCACACACCCACCAGACTCAAGCTTCCACCTTTCTAATTTTTCCCACAGCTCCTATACTATTAAGTTTGCTCGGTAAGGTTCATTGTATAGTACATCAGTTAAGCTGTCCAAAGGAGGGCAATTGGGCAGTGACAAGACACGCTCATGTGTAATGTGAAAGAAATGAATGTGGTGATGCATGAAGTGTAATCTGTGCGGTAACACATCGGAGACACCAGTAGGTAATTCAGCAGTCGTGGCATTGATTGATATGGTTAGCAGGGTAGTATAACTATTAGTCCTCACGGAGAAACGTATTTAAAACCTAAGGGGTGCCGACTTGCATGCTGGAGATGACATAAACATAAGCAGAAAGGGCTGGTTCTTGCAGGGAAATGAGCTGCGAGCGTTGGGGGTGGCTGGAGCCGGGGGCTCGGCAGCGGGAGGAAAGAGTAACTTGAGAATTCAGGCAGGTTGCAATACAGCACGATATTTTATTTTTTTTTATCAGAGAGACGATGGCTTAAAACTGATGTCATTATGAGGTTTAAATCAACTTTCTGCTTGCTTGAACATGGTCACCTGGGTATGGAGGTACAAGGACACAAAGAGGTTGAGCAACTCTGTTTGTCTTTGAGCCGGTGATACCTGGGGTTGGGAAATTGAGTTCCATGAGCAGTAATCTGTCAACTGTCCCCACAACATACATTTTTTAAACCTGTGCCTACATTTTCTTTCATAATGAAGGGGACTAGTTGTCCTGAAAAATGCAATGAAGAGCCAGGGCTATAGTTTAAAATAATTGGTAATGTACACTTCTTATTAAAAAAAAAAATAAATTACATATATCATGCCCTTTTGTTTTCAGAACAGTTTGCAAGACTGAGACAAATACTGGAAATGTGCGTATTAAAAAAAAAAATCATCCCTCTAGTAAATGTCGCTATGAATTGAGTTAAAAGCATTTTGCTTTTATTCTTAAGTATCTGTAATAGTAATAAATGTTTCTAAGGAGAGAATGCTACTTCATAAGTGATTTTTTGTTATGTTTTTAGAACTAATACGTTGTTTAAAGCTGTATTTTAGTTTCATTTTAGTTTTTAGTGCTTGCCTATTGTCTTACACAAAATAGCACATCCTTTAATGTTATATTTGTGTAATCTTTTCTGCTTTGTATTTAGACACATCTATAATCTAGATTTTACATCTGTACATAGTAGCAATTTAAAAATAAACCACATTTCAGCAGTGTTCTGAGCTGTGAGAGCTAGATCTTTAGTATCTGCAAAATGAAACTGCAAATCACACTTCAGATCACCAGCAAGTGAAAATAATAGGACTGAGACATCTGGGTGCCTGATTGCTCCCACAGATTTGGCAGTTTCAGGTCTAAATCCCGTTACTGGTACATACGAAGTTGCAGCACCAGCAGTAGCGATCTCGGGTAATTGCAGCGCAGTTCTGGGAATCTTAAAATCTGGCTCTCGCTGTTAAAATGAAACTGTTAAATGGTAAATTACATAATTTATTGCAAGTGTTCGTGGATCTATTTGACTTGCTTTTACCATTTGTTCTATTATTTTATTTAACCATTTTGCCAGATGAGTAATGAGCATACCTTTCAGCTGCCCAGTTTGACAGGCTAGTTAGGAATTCTCTCCAGAATTATTCTAAAAGAACTAGATTTGGGGAAGGAGGAGGAAGGGTTTTTTTAATTTTATTTTATTAATCAAGTGATGTCAGCGATGCGGTCATTTTTAAGTGACGGGTTGTGTGTGGACGTGTATGACATCACAGTTAACTCTTTAATTTAATGTCACCCAGCCTGAAATCGTCCTTATTATCTCCAGCGTTTTTTTTTCCCCGCACACAAGTGGGTGTTTTTTGTTTTCCTTTCAATATGCGCTATAGCTGTCGTTAGTGCTAGTGTGAGTTACACTTGTATAGGAAGTTAGACCAAACCCCTTGACTTTTAGAGGATCTACAGCGAGGTATAAATATTAGCTGTATCTATATTTTAACAGCTGTAACACTTGCAAGTTTTTCCTTGGGATAAAGCATTAGTGGATCCTGAAGTGACCGGGAGGAGAGGGGAAGGAGAGAGGAGAAGGGGGGACAGGGAGAGGAGAGTGGCTGCTAGCCTGTCTCTAATTAAAAACCTGCAGAAATCCAGATAAGGGGGTGGTGGCAAAAAAAAAGAAAAAGCGCCAGT